GGTGGCGGAATGAAACTAGTTTGGAGTGTTTGTTTGATTGCATTTTGAAGAGCTTTTTATATTCTTTCCAACGGTACCTCGCGCGTCCATTTTCGTTCACTCGTTGCTGAGTTATGATCTCTAGAAATCATCACTACCATTTGTCCGAGCCATATCGACTCAACCTAATAGCGGTTTGAGCGACACAGCGACTTCTGGGGCCATATTAGCGTTTTAGGTGCGAGTCCAGTATAGTACCTATTAAGACGTGGGTGATCTGTTATCGACGTCTCATAAAACCGTAAAGACACGTCTTGAGACATTGCCAACAATGATACAATACAGATTTCCTCGTCATTAGCATGTAATTACATGTCAGTGACACGTCTCGCCCAAACAGGTAGCGGGTCTGCGCTTCTAATGCGCCTGTTTTTATCCTTCCACACACGTCTGACACCTAACGGTCGACTCCTGAGTGATAAAAGGCTCTTTAGCTCCGAAGTTCTGCCTACAAAACGCGGGCATGTTCGCACGACATATCTCACTGTCCAGGAGTCGCCAGCGGCGTGTTGTAGTTGGTCCGGTACAGGGAGGGAGGGGGAGGGAGAACTAGGTCTGAAAATTTTTTTGAAAGAAAATGATCTACTTAATTCACACGCGCTAAATATCCCGCGCTAGATGGCAGTTTTTTGGGAGAAGAGGCAAAAAATCCTTAGGGAAAAGGGCAAAAGTGGTGAGGATTTTGGAGATTTCAGCAATATGATAGATAGGATGGTGAAGAGAAGGTCGCACCAGGGTGGACCGAAAATGTCCCCAGTGGCATGCGGTACCCTAAAAGCACGTGGCGCCACCTGTCGTTGCACCACCACCTTTTTCATCGAGTCAGCCATATCAGAGGGCAGCAAGAGGCTGCCCAATTTCGTTCCGACTCTCTTCTCTTCCGTTTCTGCCCCTCTTTCGTCTGCATAGCAGTCCGTCTCGCTGCACGCCCCTTACTGCCTACAGTTATAAACTGCAATTTAGAAAAACGTGTAGGTCTCTCACTTTTTCTGAAGGCCTAAGTTTGATCTTGCAGGGAGCGCAACTCTTTCTGAGCGTTTCCAATCGGAAGGCGATCTTTCTAAGCTCTTCGTAAGAAGAAGTAGTAGGAACCGTAATGGACAACCCTGCCTAAGATCCATGTCAGCTGGTTTTAAGGTGGGAGCGTCAAGGCGCAGGGTGGCTCAAGTAATTCCGCTTGCGTTGGTAGATGTCTTGCCTGCTGTCTCAACCGTTTGCGCACTCTCTAGCTGCTTATGTCTGATTTCTCGCTTGGAAACAACTCGATTCCCCCTCCTCGCTTGAGACATGGGGGGTCTTATTCGGAGCGTTTCACGTGGTTCTCTCAACTTTTTTCTTTTTAGTTCGAGCAAGTCAACTAGCTGGCTATTTATCTGTGTTCACCTCCGCTTACCTGCGAACTTTAGGTCGAGCTCACACGAATTTTGCCGCTCAAAGTAGCGGCTCGGGCGATGTACTATAGAAGTATACAAGATTGTGTGTGTGCAGAGTAGGTCTGCAATGGACAGCAATGGACATCTAACCAGACTGCCAGGCTCGCAGCGGAAACTTGTAAGGCAAATGGGTTAAGGTGCAAGTTGCTTCCCTTTTCTTCTGTAACTCCGCCTCCAAAGCCCGGCCTCCCAGTCGGAAGTGATGCTGGACAAGTAACACGAAATGGATGCTCTGCAGTCTCTCACGGGGTCTTAAGGTTTATTATAAGGGATGAGCCGACTGGACTCGTCCTAGGCACGCGGTCCTTCGGCCTTTCTGCGCCATCACATTGTGTGAGGCTGGGGGGGCGGTGGGGCGCTTACAGACTTTCCTATAGGTCATTATCCCTTCCAGCACATGACCCCCTCCGATTTTCCTTGACCATTACAGCCTTCCCTATAGCATTTTCCTCCACACATGACCCACTCGAATTTTCTTCCATAGCCCAACACCACTCCCTATCGCAGACCGTGCCTTTTAGTCGAGCGAGGTTCGTCAAGGACACGTTTAGAAGAGGGTCCTTATTGGGAGGTGCAGGAAAGAAACGGGCATGGAATATTCCACGTGCCCTCAATTCTTCGACCCCTAGATGTCGATATCCTCAACCTGTCAGCCTCTTGGTCAACACTGCCTAGTTAAGAGTAAAACTTAGTCACTGTGCCAACTTTTCCCGGAATATCCTTTCATATTCTCGATCCCCAGCAACGTCTTTGTAAAGAACCTCAGAAAACGCTCTCCTTTCAATGTAACCGATAATGAGATTTGCGATAAAAAGACCACAACGGTCCATTGATTGTAATTAAATGAGCGCTCACCAATGGCTTTGATATAGGACACTCTGGGAAGATTTCGCATGATGTTGCCGAACTGAAAGATCATCGCTAACAAGGCGTTGACGCCCAGCATTGTTCGTGCAGGAATTGCTCGAGGTCCCAACGAGAATGAAATCCAACTGAAAAAAAGAAACTAGTTGTCATTGGAAAGATTTCTGGGAGCTTCTGAAAGTCACTGCTCTGAAGCGGGGAAAAAACGAGATCATGATATGGCTCTAAATAAATCACTTGTCATTCAGTTACGTGGATTCAGGCAAAAAGCTCGCGTACCTAATGAAAATGGTGAGGTAGGTAGGCAAGTAGGCCTGCATGAAGTACCAGATGTATCGTCGTTCGAACGTCAACCTCACGTGCAACTCGTCCCACCAACCAGCAGGGTACGGCTGGAAAATAAAGGTTATTTTCAAGGCTGAAAAGTGCTAGAGCCAGCGAGAAGGTCGCATTTTTTGGCTGTTGACTGCCGGATTCAGGACAAATCATCGTTGGGGGTTTCCCCAACAGGGAGTGTCGTATTTGGTCGCTGGGGAGGGGGGTCGTATTTGTTCTAAGAAAAATTTTTCCTATAGTTAATTTTTTAACGGACCCTATAAGAAGAAAGGGGAGGAGTCGTATTTGCTTTCTGAGAGAAATTTGCGGCGTTGGGAAAAAATTTTTCCCGGTTGTTCACTTTTCGCGGTTTCTCCCGTTTCGCATGTGATATGCACCCGCTCCCCGGCCCACGCCCCTCCCCCCCTCCAACAGCAAATTTTTGAAGAAAAATATCGAATTTCTTGTGAAATTTGAAATTGGGAGAAATAACTGGATTTGGGATAAATCTGGAAAAGTGATAGATGGGGAAGAGAGGGAATTAGGAGCAGGGGTTTGTATTTTCCGAAAATTTCCCCAGCGACAACTCGGGCCCCGGAAAAATAACAAACGGAGCCCGTGAAAAGGAGAAGGGGATCAAATCATCAAGCACACCTTTTTATTGTGATGGGGAGTCCGGTAAGCGAACTCGACTAAAATATCCAGCTCAATGATTGCCCTGGCTTGGCTTTTCTAGGTTTTTCCTGGTGTTTTGAGTGGCGTTCGATAAACGCGGCTCCAGGATCCCCCTCAACTACCTGCTGCTGAGACGGCAGGGGAAAACTGTACGATTTCCAGGAATTGAAGTTGGCTAAGTGGGAATGGAGGATGAGGACCGGGATGGTATTCGCTTAATAGAGGGAGGGGTGTCGCATTTGCTTTCGAAAAGAAAACGTTCCTTTAGTTTCAACCGTTTCACGGGCTTTCATGCTCCCCACCTCCACGACGGGGGGTTTTTTAAAGGCAAGTGTAGAGTTTTTCTTGCTAGAGTGGGAGAATTGAGGAAAACAGTAGACAGCAAACATGGGGAAGAGATTGTCTTTGCAGGAATTCTCTCCTAACAGCAGGACGGTTCTGGTTCAGCACTGCTTACCTTCATTATCTTTGGTTTGTTGGCGTTCTTACACTTTCTCGTTTTCGCGTGTGTTCCCCTCCCTCCTTCTACTGACGGCGGTTGTTTAGGTAAGACACCTTTTGGAGACAAACTCAGCAGAAGAGATAAGGAGAACGGGAGAATAGGTGGAGGTGTAGGGTGCAATTATGGTAGCAAGGGAAAATGCGGAAGGGGAGGTTTAGTATCAGGTGGAGAAATTTTAAGAGGAGGGAACATATAATGTTTCCATTGCCAGAATCTGATTAGCGTTGTTGATTTTGTTTGTGCGGTTTGGTGAATTAAGCGAGGTTCGCGTGATCCATGCTCACCTACCCTTGTCCTAGCAGGGGGGGGGCAAAACCGGGGTAAAAAGTAGAAGTGGATGGCTAAATTGATAATTACGGCTATTTTGTCGATGAGCTCGCTCGTCACACCAAAAAGTAGGTAAAATGAGCAAAGGAGTTTTCAGCAAAAGTTTTGTCGCATGGGGACCGGCACCCGGATGTCACTCCTCCCGCCTCTGTACTGCACCACAGAGGCAACCTGCCCTCCCAGGGCTAACGAGCGATTATCTAGTCAGCTTCGTTCATTGAAAAATGCTAAAAAGACGGCTCTATTCGCCAAAAGAAAAGCCAGCCAGAAGAAAGAAAGGGAAGGAAGAAATGACGCTTCGTTAAACAGTTAATTTGGTTTTGTTGAAGTTCAGAAAAGATCGTAATCAAAACTTGTTCGGAATTAGATAAGGACTTCTAATTATCTGAGAATCAACTTTCTTTATATAAGTAAAAACCTATAGAAGAAAGGCTGAAAATTTTCCGTCATCTTGTGAGTTCCTACCTTTCCCTTAAGGGGCTAAATTGATCCCTGAAATTAGCTTTCAATCATGTTAATACCAATAGGGACGTAGGTGGTGTAGCGGGAAGTGGCACAGCTTGGCAAGCCCAGCTGGTGCCGGACCTGAAATCTCTGTTGGGCACCCGCCAGGGTCAGGCAGTTCTTGCTTCTACCGGAATCTGTTACATCACCCCACAGCATGTCCTATCTACGGGAGAAAATTTTGCGAATTGCGACCCTCCTCTTCATTCTGTGGTGCGATCCCCTCCTTCCCTGACCACCATCCTTCCTCCCTACCATCTTCCCATATCCTCCTTCTATCA